GATAGTGAATCATCTCTACGTCTTAACTTCCGCTTACTGTATCCACGAGGCAATTACCATCAGGTAGGTTAATTAGATATTGCGCGATTCGTGTTCAAATAATTTGCTCGACTTCGTGCCGTACCACGATAAAAATCACAATAAAAATTATCAATTTAGTGTCCAACTGCTGCTTTACATTTATTTTGTGTCTAATCGCTTGAGTGCGCGTGCGCGCGCGTATCACATTTATTATATGAAAAACATAATTAATAGATGCTACAAGATGCCCTGCATATGCCATTTTATATGTTTAATTGAATCGCCCCGTGTATTATCAATGAATAAATTGGCTGATATTTGAAAATTATCTAAGTTAAATCGATTCTAAATGGTTATTTTCTTTCTGACGCACTTATAACCGAACATTAAATTCGCAAATGTAATATTCAGCAGCGAGCACACGTGTATAAATATCTCTGTGTGCCCGTGTATCCCTTACTAACTCGTTATTCTTCTTTCTCTTTTTTTTTTCTTCTTTTTTATACAGACACAACATCAAAGGCTCATTGGCTGTAATGATCGCACCATTTACAAATTCTACTCAAATAATTAAAATTGTAAATTACAGAATGCATCCACAAAACACTCTCGATGTTCGAGAAGAAACTTTCCCAAATTATAATGTTGCGCTAGTTAAACTTTCTTGCAGGTATCAAACTCTTTCGACATTTAAGAACATGTAAATCAAATTACATTCATTTTTTTTTTTTTTTTTTTTTTTTTTTTTTTTTTTTTTTTTTTTTTTTTTTATTGAGTTTTACATCATAAATTATCTTTTGACACGCTTGGTGATGTTGCAATTTTACGTACATATAAATTAAACAAACAAATTAATAATAATAAAATTAATTAATAATAAGTTGTTTTTTCTTCGCTCGTAAAGCTCAAACGAGTATTTTCTTTTTTTTTTCTCGGCACTCATTTTCGGCAAAATTCATACAAATTCATTTTACAGAGCATTTCATAATGTATAACTAAGTTTTGAAGAAACTGTGTAGTGTCGCTTAAACAATACGCTATCGCATTATGATTTTATTCTACATTAACGCATGTGTACGCGCAATTATAATTTAAATGCCCTTAGGATTTTGGAAAGGAATTTGTTCGTGATTGAATTACCTCAACAAAGGCTAGAGGATTTGTGTATGGACGAGAGCTGTCTAATTGGTGTTATTTCAAAAAATTCTGCGGTATGATATATTCTGTATTGATTTTATCATTTGTTTTGGCTTTTGAATTATTATCATTAATATATCCATTGTCTCGATATTGTTCGTAATTTAGAAAAGCTTTAGTATGTATCAAGCGAAAGCAAAAAATGTCATTAATCAGATACAAAAACGAGACGCTAAAAATATGCGAAATACGAACGACGGTGATGGAATTAATTTGAGGAAATCTAATGAAAATGCAGGATTTAATAGAAATAATGATAGGGTGAAGTCATTGAAATCAACGAGAAAAAGTCGAAGCAATAACACGACCTCAAGGGGAAATTATTCTAAATTTTTAAAAAGTAAGTATTGCCGTGGGCTTTGATTGTTACAAGTTTTTAAGGCAAATAGATTTAGGCTGACCGCCAACTGTTAAAATCCACGTGCATTCAGTGGTTGTAAGAAAATGTCATTGTCATAGTGAAACCCGGCTTGCGAGGGGCAAAAGCATCGAGTAAAAATGTAAAAAATTGAAAAAACTACTACTTGTTGGTTTGAAATTTTTCCAGGCATTACTGCAAAAAATCTTGGTACGAGCAGGGATAAATATCTGGATAAGTCAATGGCCGAGTACGGCTTTAGAAATAATAAGATATCGATTCGATCGAGTGACGGTACGAAAGGCTGCGCGATGACCGGGACCGCCGTTATGTCAGATAACACTCAGGTGAAATTATTCATAATAATACATCACTAATATATCTTTAATCATCTTTGAATTGTTTTAGGCTGGCTTAGTGGCGTTGGCTTGTGACGACAGACAGCCCGACGGCCAATGGATTTACACTAGCATTGTTGACGTTGTGGATTGGATTAAAGATGTATTATCCGACAAGTCGGTTGGCCAAAATCGCGAGCATTGCTCCACTTGCATCTACAATTTCTTCTTCCCAAACAATTGCTCGAGCGAGCACTGCTTATCCAATATCATTAAGACATCGGGAATGAATAGCGATGGATTGTGCCAGCATATTAATAATTTAAATGCCAGCAATTATAATCAATTGATGAACAAGTCTTCCGAATATACAATGGAATCTTACAAGGAAGCAATTAAAATAATGTATGGTAGGTCGGATCAGGACAAGAGAAAGATGCCTCCCAAAGACGAGCTTCATGCAAGGAACGTTGACGCCCAGGCACCGATGAAAATAACAAATGCCATGGATAATTTCAATCAGCGAATGTACGTTATCGATTCGTTGGAAACATCGTCAAATTTAAACTATAGTACCGTTAATAACATTAATACTGCATCTACAAATATTGACAATAATGAGCTCCATAATAAGTATAATCATCATCGAGAAAATATAATAGACTCGAATGACGATGGCCAAGACATAGGATATTTAAAAAACAATAATTATTATATCATAACTGAAAATCAAGAGAGCGACGGGAGCGATTATTATAAATATAATCAGTATGCAGCAGAATCGAGCGTACCTGAAAAATATCTTATTCTATATAAAATGTTTTTGGAAGAGCAACAAAAATTGGGAAATAAAAATTTTCAATATTAATGTTTTAGTATTATTAGTCGGGCAAGTGATTGTCAAATGTGCAACAATATTATATCAAGTTATTATAAATTTCCCTATACGTCGTTACAATGTAATATTTAATTTATGAAATAAATATATGAAGAGCTTAAACGAGTATATCAATTTCACCCTTCGCACTCATTTACGTACGCATGCGTGCGTACATGCATACGTACGCGCGCATGTGCACACGTAAGCGCATGCAAACATACAAGGCATACAATCAGGCTTTTGAATTTCTACGGAAATTTCTATCCTTCGCTTGATTAAATTTACGATCATATAAATTATTACGACTAAATTCTCATTAATAAATCTTACAACATCATTTCTAATAATTGCTATTAATTTTATAACTTCAAATATGCTAATCTACGCATAATTGTACGAAATAATTTACATCATATAGAATATTTCGTTTATCGCATTAATTAATATTTGATTATTCATCATCAATGATTTCGTCGGTATATTATGTAACGATAATTAAATTTATTGCCACGATTATTTATTTATTATTATTATTATTATTATTATTATTACAATAATTGCATGCTAATATCAGGCTTCGTATCTTTTCTTTTCTACATTATGATAAAAAGCAATTAGGCATTCGCAATGTCACTGAAAATCGCTTTGTAAATATCGAATTTTCAAGCCTAATCGCATTCTTACTCATATGCTGTAAAATGTCAATAAAGAATGCTTGGTTGAGAAAGAAAAAGAAAAAAAAAAAACGAAAAAATGAACAAGGAAAAAGAAAAACGGGAAAAAAATAGTCTCACAAAGTCATATTCCAGAAGCGCATACGAGGAAAATCGAAGTTTCTTCAAACTAGCGACTAACTTTAACAATCGGCCGATTAGTCGATCTTAATTAAGCGTGGCGATACGAGAGTAAAAGGAAACGAGAGAAGGAAAATATGCTCATAAGTGGCAGTTGAGGAAAAGATGAAACGCATTATACGTCAGCAGCAAAGCGTTGAAGCGCTCCGCTTGGCTACCTACGAGGTCTTTGACTCTCTCTCTCTCTCTCTCTCTCTCTCTCTCTCTCTCTATCATAATCAATCATTTATACATGCATACATGTAAATATATAAATATGTATATATGTGTGTGTATATATATATATATATATATATATATATATGTAAATATATGTAAATATATGTGTATGTATTCATGTGTATATATAATACACACACATATGTGTGTGTGTGTGTGTGTGTGTATATGCGTCTGTATTTTATTTTTTTTCTTTCTCTCGTTATTTGTCTTTGTTATGTAGCACTTTTCGAGGACGATGCGAGTCGGTTAACAAAAGCTTATTTGTTGTGCAAGGGAATATAATGACGTTACCGAGGCTTCTCTCAGTGCTTTTATTCGTCATCGAAACTTCGACTTTCGATATTAACGCGAACATCGACTCAGGATTAAGACAAGAGATCGCTACTACGGATACACCGACAAGTACGAGTATCTTCGGAATTAATTCGGCTAGCGATTATGACACGGTGATTTCGTCTTCGGATGTATGGACTGAAAATGCCTTATCAAAAAGCGATGGTGAAGATTTATTCGTGCAAGAGACAAGCATCTTCGAGCCTACTGATTATGTAGATAATGAAAGTAACGTAAGGTGGAAGAGAAAGTCGCAACGAAAAAATAAGCAGAAAACGACAGCCAGTGACAATGATAAAAAGAATGAGACGCAAAATTCAGGTGTTATACCAAAGTCGCAGAAATTGTGGATAGATAGCGATATTACAAATACAAACGAAGCATCTGTAAAAATGAATGCTTTCATTATAAAGGACGAGAGTATATCTGGATGTCACACACCTGCCGAAGCGATTACGTAAGTTGCGAGCGCAAATAATTTGTCTATTATATTGGAATATAAATTTACCGTAATATTATGCGTATTAGAAGCTCTGTTTCATAAGTTGCTATGTCTTTCATTATTTTTGTTATTTTTTTCTTTTGTTTTTTTTTTTTGTTTTTGTTTTTTTTTTAGTTTTTTATTTTTTTAGTTTTTTAGTTTTTTT